TACGGCTTACGCACCAGGGTTATTGACGTACTAGTATGCCTAAATTCTAGCACCTTCAACTCTAGTGAGAGAAAGCTGGTAGGCCTACATATGAAAGAATGGGTCTATGTGGTCAGTGTGCACAGTATAAAAAAAATCCTGCAGCACACAGTGCACGAGAAAAAAAAATCTCCGACGGTGTTTTTGGTTTAAAACAGCAACTTTGCAGTGTATTTTCGTATGGTATTTATGGTTGTATTTTAGTTTTTCTGGTCTCATTTTATAGAATGGAAGAAATATTACAGAAATTGAGATGATTTTGATTGGTTTCATAATGAAAAGTATCTTGAAATTGAGCTCAAAGTAGCAGAAATGTTTGATTTTTACCAAAGTTCAAAAGTAAACAATTAATGCCAAGCGTCCAATACACATCAACTGGTGAGTCTAATATTCTTTCACAAGTGTGCTATTATTTATACCATTTCTACACTAATGCAGTAGTCTGCATAACAGTAAATCTTCTATTTTTTGTGAGAATAAAAATTCAAAGTGGAAAGCAAAAGAGATGAAAGAGGGACCTGGGGACGTGACTGTTGAACAGAGAAAATGTTATTTTAGTGCCAGGAATGTCTGTCTTGTTTATTCTGGACCCTATTTGGAAACTGGCATCTTCTGAAATTTGTGTGAAATTGGCAAAATTGCCAGGTTCTGACCACTTTATTGGATAGTTGAAATCAGTAAAGGGGTGGTTTCTTGTACTCATTCGATAGAAAAAATGGAGTTCTAGCGTAGTAGATATGATTTTTGTCGACTAGTACACTGGAATTGGCCGAAAATAGGGCTCAAAGTGGGCAAAATCGCCGATGTGTAAACATCGTTGAGACTGCTAACTTCGTGAGAGCATAATTCCATAAATTTTCCATCATATTTCATACTTTTGGTGTCATTATGATCAGGAAAAGATTCTCTTATCATTTTATAAGAAAAAATAATTTTTTTCCGAAAAATTTTCGACCCTGAGAACGAGTTTAGGAGAGGGCCTGTCGACCCTGAAAGGGTTAAAAATGTACCAGAAATGCTATAAATGGTGCAAAGGTGACATTAAAACAATATCAAAGATGATAAATTAGACACATGTGTAACACTTGGGTATCTTTATTGAGGAAACATTTCGCCACACAGTGGCTTCGTCAGTCCATACAAGGCTGAGGGACTGATTACCTCAAACTCCTCCTGTTCTTTACTATTCTCCTTTATATGGACTGATGAAGCCACTGTGTGGTGAAACGTTTCCTCAATAAAGATACCCAAGTGTTGCACATGTGTCTAATTTATCAACTTGTCGGTTCTCTGAACCATTCATCTACATTCCTGTCTGACACAGGAACATCTTGGGATCTTAATACAGGGAATTCTTCACTTGCCTAACCCTTGTGCATGACCTACTTCCACGTTGGTCAAATGTGATACCACCTACAACTGCTGCACTTCATCCTATGGTACATAAACCCCTTCACACATATGCTGTATTCTTTTCAAGATTGATGGACTGACTACACCGACTTAAGGCTGAGGGACTGATTACCTCAAACTCCTCCTGTTCTTCACCATTCTCCTTTGTATGGACTGATGAAGCCACTGTGTGGCAAAACGTTTCCTCAATAAAGATACCCAAGTGTTGCACATGTGTCTAATTTATCAACATGTCAGTTCTCTGAACCATTCATTTACAATATCAAAGATGGTTGACACAAACCCACTACCATTACAGTATGCTCCTTACCGACGAATTTGTTTACCGACAAGGTTTTAGGAACGGAACTCTGTCGTTCAGTGAGGAGAGGCTGTATAGCACTTTGTCTGGATTTTGGGGGGTTTTCCTAGGTAATTTACACTATGAATAATAACTGTATTTATGTGTACCTGTGAGACAGAGCTAGAGGCAGAGATAGAGACAGAGATAAACAGAGACAGAGATAAATAGAGACAGAGAGATAGATATAAACAGACAGAGATAGACACAGCCAAAATCAATCAGCTAGCCAGCCAGCCACCCACTCACCCAGCAGCCAGCCAGCCACCCACCCACCCACCCAGCAGCAGCCAGCTAGCAAGCCAACCGCCCAGTCAGTCGGCCACCCAGCCAGCCAGCCTGCCGAAAGCATATTACACACGTTCCTGAATTGTTTCTCTTTACTTAGAGCATACGACATGACTTCAGTGAATCCCTGGTGTTTGCCATGCTTTTTGCTCTAGCTGGTGCTCAATTGAACTGGTGCTCCCACAAAGTTCTAAGTGGTCCCAGATTTTTTTAATACTGTGCACACGAGTGTTATGACCCATTCTGTAGTGACCAGGCATCTCAGGCCAATCATACCAAATTTGAAGGCAGGAAAAGTAAAACGTTGATCTGCGTTTGGAGCGCTAGCGGTAGCATTGTTTGAACAGTTATGGGGTTAATATCAAAAGATGAGACGGGTTATGAAAACATCTAAAATAGTATTATGATAACATTGAGTAAGGCATAAGAAGCTCTCAGAAGTAACTGTAGGCAGTATGGGAGGAGCTGCGCATATTCAAATGCTGAAGTTGGAACATTAGCTTAGTTGGAACATTAGCTCCTTTATCTGGAAAATAAGTAACAAGTACTGTACTTAGTTACTTGGCTTGTACAAAACCATTTTGTACAAGGGCATTTGAGGCTGGTGTAATTGAAATTCAAATACTTTATTTCTTGTATGCAGTATACAGATAATGTAGTTTACATGTAATACAATATTGTTAGGCACAGAAGAAAGCCACTAACATGTAGTGCATTTCAGTCCTTATTCCACTATTAATTAAGCTGCAGAGGATGCTTCACCCAGCTTAAACACTGAGAGCACTTTGTTTTTGTGAAGGTATGGTAAGACTGATCTCTGAGATTGTCAGTAGTGGGTCACTAGTGGTGAGCCCCTCTGTGTAATTATGTATTCGTGATCATTCTAGTGTACCAGCTTGTTGCTTGGTCTAGTCTTTGTTAGTTTATACAACAGCAGAGTCTTCAGGCCTCTCACGATGCCATTACTTGGGCTTAGGATTGAGTATCTAGAATCTCGTGGTCATTAAGTGTCTGCTTAAGTTGCCTCTTCATATTTCATGGTTCCTGTCTCCTGGAAATTTCAGCATAGGTTCCAGGTCCATTCAACAGTTGTTTCCTTTGTCTCGGTCTCTGGGTATGGGTGGTGCAGTGCAGTCTTGGTAACAGGCGGTACAATCCCAGGTGTGCTCTCCAGGGTCCCATCACAGCATACAGGCATGCTCTTCAGGGTCCCATCACAGCAATCAGGTGTGCTCTTCAGGGTCCCATCACAGCAATCAGGTGTGCTCTTCAGGGTCCCATCACAGCACACAGGTGTGCTCTCCAGGATTCTATCACAGCATACGGGTGTGCTCTCCAGGGTCCCATCACAGCATACGGGTGTGCTCTCCAGGGTTCCATCACAGCATATGGGTGTGCTCTCCAGGGTTCCACCACAGCATATGGGTGTGCTCTCCAGGGTCCCATCACAGCATACGGGTGTGCCCTCCAGGGTCCCATCACAGCATACAGGTGTGCTCTCCAGGGTCCCATCACAGCATACGGGTGTGCTCTCCAGGGTTCCATCACAGCACATGGGTGTGCTCTCCAGGGTTCCATCACAGCATATGGGTGTGCTCTCCAGGGTCCCATCACAGCATATGGGTGTGCCCTCCAGGGTCCCATCACAGCATACAGGTGTGCTCTCCAGGGTCCCATCACAGCATATGGGTGTGCTCTCCAGGGTCCCATCACAGCATACAGGTGTGCTCTCCAGGGTCCCATCACAGCATATGGGTGTGCTCTCCAGGGTTCCATAACAGCATATGGGTGTGCTCTCCAGGGTCCCATTGCAGCATACAGGTGTGCTCTCCAGGGTCCCATCACAGCATATGGGTGTGCTCTCCAGGGTTCCATCACAGCATATGGGTGTGCTCTCCAGGGTCCCATCACAGCATACGGGTGTGCTCTCCAGGGTCCCATCACAGCATACAGGTGTGCTCTCCAGGGTCCCATCACAGCATATGGGTGTGCTCTCCAGGGTTCCATCACAACATACGGGTGTGCTCTCCAGGGTTTCCCATCACAGCATACGGTGTGCTCTCCAGGGTTCCATCACAACATACGGGTGTGCTCTCCAGGGTCCCATCACAGCATACGGGTGTGCTCTCCAGGTTTCCATCACAGCATACGGGTGTGCTCTCCAGGGTCCCATCACAGCATACGGGTGTGCTCTCCAGGGTTCCATCACAACATACGGGTGTGCTCTCCAGGGTCCCATCACAACATACGGGTGTGCTCTCCAGGGTTCCATCACAGCATACGGGTGTGCTCTCCAGGGTCCCATCACAGCATACGGGTGTGCTTTCCAGGGTCCCATCACAACATACGGGTGTGCTCTCCAGGGTCCCATCACAACATACGGGTGTGCTCTCCAGGGTCCCATCACAGCATACGGGTGTGCTCTCCAGGGTTCCATCACAACATACGGGTGTGCTCTTCAGGGTCCCATCACAACATATGGGTGTGCTCTCCAGGGTTCCATCACAACATATGGGTGTGCTCTCCAGGGTCCCATCACAACATACGGGTGTGCTCTCCAGGGTTCCATCACAACATATGGGTGTGCTCTCCAGGGTCCCATCACAACATACGGGTGTGCTCTCCAGGGTCCCATCACAACATACGGGTGTGCTCTCCAGGGTTCCATCACAACATTGTAGTCCCTGGTGGACTCTTGATTTTTGTTGCCTCCCTCAGATGTTTTGGTTGTCAATTAAATTCGGGAATATTTTAAGAGCCTCATTTGGGGTTAATAATAACAAGTTAACATGATGTAGTGACCAGAGGTAAAGGAGGTCACAACATAGCACACAGTACATGTGTAGAGCTTATTAAAGTCCAAAGAGGTGAGTTTTTGTGTGATATAAGGTTGAGAGTACTGCAGTTCAACAGCTACAATGCATCTGATATAGAACTGCATCTTTCATCAGGCTCAAAATTCTGTATTTGTATATTTTAGCTTCATGTTAACAGTTATTGATGTACCTACTTGTTCTTTAGTACTCTGTAAGTCTGTCTGATCACTGTTAACCGAGACACCATTTCTGCATGTTGCAGAGATGCGAGAGCGGGGAGGGTCCGGAGGGATGGCTGAGTCACCTTCTACTGCACAAATACAGAACCAGCAGAACCAGCACCAGCAGTACTCTGCCCTCCCTGTAACCACACCATCTACTCAAGATACTGCCACCAATAAGGAATCTTCGGGTAATGGAACTGTCGATGGTAATAATCTTCTTATACCTCCTCTCAGTTCATTAATCACTTCAGCCTGAGATAATAACATTCTAAAAACTTCATGCTCTGGTTCACTTCTAATTGTTGTAGATTAAACTTATGTCTATTGGAACTATCTATGAGGGAATATGTACAGTACTTTAATAGCTTTTTTATACTTCCCGTCTCTCACTGAGGTAGGGTGACCCAAATAGAAAAGGAAATATATTAACCATATTCAGTCAATATTTGTCTTGTCAGAAGTGTGCAGACATCACAGTTCAAATGATTAATCCAAACTGCAACATCTTTACCTCTCCTTCAGAGTGTATGCACTGTACTTCACAACTCCAGGACTTAATTCCACTTAACTGGTTTTCTTGAATCTCTTCATTAGTGTTATCTTACATTCTAGCAGCACAACAAACTATAAAAAGCACTTGTCTCCACTCATTCCCATCTAACATGCTCACCCAAGCCTGCTGGATGCTCAAGCCTCTAGCACTCAGAACCTCCTTCCAACCCTTCCTGGGATGACCGTTGTGCTTCTTCCCTTCCACCCAGCTTTATGTAACCTCTTGGTCATCCTATTATGGTCTATCATTTCTAAATGCCCAAATGACCTCAACAATCCATTTCCAGCTTTCTGAATTATATCTTTCATTTCCCCCACACTCTCTTCCTAATTTCTATGCTCCAAATTCTATAGTAATAGTCACACAATATATATCTTTCGAGCATGACATCTCCACTGCCTCCAGCCTTCTCTTTCCTGCAATGTTTAAAATCTATGTTTCACATCCATGAAACAGTGTTGGTGCTACTATACCCAAATATCTGAACACATTTGCTTACTCTGTGCTCCCCTTTGCTAGTTTGATATTCAGTATTTTATTGATGACCTTGCACTTTTCTATGTTCACTATTAACTCTTTGGTGTTTGGTTATTGAAATATTGAAGGTATTTCAATGTGCTTCTGGTATATTGTAGAAGTGCCCATTATTAAACGTTTTTGCTTGTGTAACTTACAATATCACTGATAATCTTTTATGAATTTTTGAGAGTCCAAACATTCTTTATTTGTACTTATGAACTATTGTAAATGATTGGGAGACACTCTCCTAGGTCTAGAACTACACTACTGGGAGACACTCTGCTAGGTCTAGAACTACACTACTGGGAGACACTCTGCTAGGTCTAGAACTACACTACTGGGAGACTCTCCTAGGTCTAGAACTACACTACTGGGAGACACTCTCCTAGGTCTAGAACTACACTACTGGGAGACACTCTCCTAGGTCTAGAACTACACTACTGGGAGACACTGCTAGGTCTAGAACTACACTACTGGGAGACACTCTTCTGGTCTAGAACTACACTACTGGGAGACAATTTCTCAGGTCTAGAACTACACTACTGGGAGACACTCTCCTAAGTCTAGAACTACACTACTGGGAGACACTCTCCTAGGTCTAGAACTACACTACTGGGAGACACTCTCCTAGGTCTAGAACTACACTACTGGGAGACACTCTCCTAGGTCTAGAACTACACTACTGGGAGACACTCTCCTAGGTCTAGAACTACACTACTGGGAGACACTCTCCTAGGTCTAGAACTACACTACTGGGAGATACTCTCCTAGGTCTAGAACTACACTACTGGACTCTACTAGGTCTAGAACTACACTACTGGGAGACACTCTCCTAGGTCTAGAACTACACTACTGGGAGACACTCTCCTAGGTCTAGAGCTACACTACTGGGAGACACTCTCCTAGGTCTAGAACTACACTACTGGGAGACACTCTCCTAGGTCTAGAACTACACTACTGGGAGACACTCTCCTAGGTCTAGAACTACACTACTGGGAGACACTCTCCTAGGTCTAGAACTACACTACTGCGAGACACTCTCCTAGGTCTAGAACTACACTACTGGGAGACACTCTCCTAGGTCTAGAACTACACTACTGGGAGACACGCTCCTAGGTCTAGAACTACACTACTGGGAGACACTCTCCTAGGTCTAGAACTACACTACTGGGAGACACTTTGCTAGGTCTAGAACTACACTACTGGGAGACACATTGCTAGGTCTAGAACTACACTACTGGGAGATACACTGCTAGGTCTAGAACTACACTACTGGGAGACACTCTCCTAGGTCTAGAACTACACTACTGGGAGACACTCTCCTAGGTCTAGAACTATACTACTGGGAGACACTCTCCTAGGTCTAAAACTATACTACTGGGAGACACTCTCCTAGGTCTAGAACTACACTACTGGGAGACACTCTCCTAGGTCTAGAACTACACTACTGGGAGACACACTGCTAGGTCTAGAACTACACTACTGGGAGACACTCTGCTAGGTCTAGAACTACACTACTGGGAGACTCTCTGCTAGGTCTAGAACTACACTATTGGGAGACTCTCTGCTAGGTCTAGAACTACACTACTGGGAGACTCTCTGCTAGGTCTAGAACTACACTACTGGGAGAGATTCTCCTAGGTCTAGAACTACGCTACTGGGAGAGACTCTGCTAGGTCTAGAACTACACTACTGGGAGAAACTCTGCTAGGTCTAGAACTACACTACTGGGATACACTCTCCTATGTCTAGAACTACACTACTGGGAGACACTCTCCCAGGTCTAGAACTACACTACTGGGAGACACTCTCCCAGGTTTAGAACTACTCTACTGGGAGACTCTCTGCTAGGTCTAGAACTACACTACTGGGAGAGATTCTCCTAGGTCTAGAACTACACTACTGGGAGAGACTCTGCTAGGTCTAGAACTACACTACTGGGAGAAACTCTGCTAGGTCTAGAACTACACTACTGGGATACACTCTCCTATGTCTAGAACTACACTACTGGGAGACACTCTCCCAGGTCTAGAACTACACTACTGGGAGACACTCTCCCAGGTTTAGAACTACTCTACTGGGAGACTCTCTGCTAGGTCTATAACTACACTACTGGGAGACACTCTGCTAGGTCTAGAACTACACTACCGGGAGACACTCTCCCAGGTCTAGAACTACACTACCGGGAGACACTCTCCCAGGTCTAGAACTACACTACTGGGAGACACTCTGATAGGTCTTGAACTACACTACTGGGAGACTCCCTGCTAGGTCTAGAACTACACTACTGGGAGACACTCTCCTAGGTCTAGAACTACACTACTGGGAGACACTCTCCTAGGTCTAGAACTACACTACTGGGAGACACTCTCCTAGGTCTAGAACTACACTACCGGGAGACACTCTCCCAGGTCTAGAACTACACTACTGGGAGACACTCTCCCAGGTCTAGAACTACACTACTGGGAGACACTCTGTTAGGTCTAGAACTACACTATTGGGAGACTCTCTGCTAGGTCTAGAACTACACTTCTGGGAGACTCTCTGCTAGGTCTAGAACTACACTACTGGGAGACTCTCTGCTAGGTCTAGAACTACACTACTGGGAGACACTCTGCTAGGTCTACAACTACACTACTGGGAGAAACTCTGCTAGGTCTAGAACTACACTACTGGGAGACTGCTAGGTCTAGAACTACACTACTGGGAGACTGCTAGGTCTAGAACTACACTACTGGGAGACACTCTCCTAGGTCTAGAGCTACACTACTGGGAGAGACTCTCCTAGGTCTAGAACTACACTACCGGGAGACACACTCCCAGGTCTAGAACTACACTACTGGGGGACACTCTCCCAGGTCTAGAACTACACTACTGGGAGACACTCTGCTAGGTCTAGAACTACACTACTGGGAGACAATCTCCTAGGTCTAGAACTACACTACTGGGAGACACTCTCCCAGGTCTAGAACTACACTACTGGGAGACACTCTCCCAGGTCTAGAACTACACTACTGGGAGACACTCTGCTAAGTCTAGAACTACACTACTGGGAGACACACTGCTAGGTCTAGAACTACACTATTGGGAGACACACTGCTAGGTCTAGAACTACACTACTGGGAGACTCTCTGCTAGGTCTAAAACTACACTACTGGGAGATTCTCTGCTAGGTCTAGAACTACACTACTGGGAGACTCTCTGCTAGGTCTAGAACTACACTTCTGGGAGACACTCTGCTAGGTCTAGAACTACACTACTGGGAGACACTCTGCTAGGTCTAGAACTACACCACTGGGAGACACTCTGCTAGGTCTAGAACTACACTACTGGGAGAGACTCTCCTAGGTCTAGAACTACACTACTGGGAGAGACTCTCCTAGGTCTAGAACTACACTACTGGGAGACACTCTGCTAGGTCTAGAACTACACTACTGGGAGACTCCCTGCTAGGTCTAGAACTACACTACTGGGAGACACTCTGCTAGGTCTAGAACTACACTACTGGGAGACACTCTGCTAGGTCTAGAACTACACTACTGGGGGACACTCTCCTAGGCCTAGTACTACACTACTGGGAGACACTCTGCTAGGTCTAGAACTACACTACTGGGAGACACTCTGCTAGGTCTAGAACTACACTACTGGGAGACTCTCTGCTAGGTCTAGAACTACACTACTGGGAGAGACTGCTAGGTCTAAAACTACACTACTGGGAGACTTTCTGCTAGATCTAGAACTACACTACTGGGAGACACTCTCCTAGGTCTAGAACTACACTACTGGGAGAGACTCTCCAGGTCTAGAACTACATCTGGAGACACTCTCCCAGGTCTAGAACTACACTACTGGGAGACACTCTCCTAGGTCTAGAACTACACTACTGGGAGACACTGCTAGGTCTAGAACTACAGTACTGGGAGACACTGCTAGGTCTAGAACTACAGTACTGGGAGACACTGCTAAGTCTAGAACTACACTACTGGGAGACACTGCTAGGTCTAGAACTACAGTACTGGGAGACACTGCTAAGTCTAGAACTACACTACTGGGACACACTCTCCCAGATCTAGAACTACACTACTGTGAGACACTCTCCCAGGTCTAGAACTACACTACTGGGAGACACTCTGC